ACAAGAGAAAAACTGAAAAAGGACTTTATCCAAAAGAAGTAGTAATAGAGGCAGCAAGCCACGTTATTGATGGAAGAGTAACATCAGTTCGTGCATCAGCAAAAAAGTTTGGAATCCACTACTCGACTCTTTCTCGTTATATAAAAAAAGTTAAAAAAGCTGTTGATATGGGAATGCCACTACCTTATCCTGGATATAAAAAGAATCAAGTTTTTACTTATGAACAAGAAATAGCTATTGCTTCATATATATCAATATGTTCTGATATCTATTTTGGATTATCACCATATGAAACAAGAAAGCTTGCATTTGAATGTGCAGTAAAGTATGGTATTATTTTTCCCAAATCGTGGTTAAAACATTCCATGGCTGGTCCTGATTGGATGAGAGGGTTTTTAAACCGACATCCAAGATTGTCTATCAGAACTCCAGAAGCAACAAGTCTTGCACGAGCAACTAGCTTTAATCGTGCTAATGTAGGTGTTTTTTTTCAAAAATTATCAGATGTTTTAGATAGGCATCATTTTTCTGCATCAAATATCTTTAATGTTGATGAGACTGGTATCACCACTGTGCAAAAACCAAACAAAATAATTGCTCGTAAAGGCATTAAGCAAGTGGGTGCATTAACTTCTCAAGAGCGAGGGACATTAGTGACAATGGTAATAGCCGTAAATGCATATGGCAATAGTGTGCCTCCAATGTTTCTTTTTCCAAGAAAGAAATTCTTTGATCACTTTATTCGTGATGGGCCAAATGGCTGCATTGGTGCTTCGAATGGATCAGGCTGGATGAATGAGGAGTGCTTTATTACTTACATAAACCACTTTATTCGACATGTAAAGCCATCAAAAGAAAGCCCTGTGTTATTACTTTTAGACAATCATCAATCTCATTTATCTATTCAATTAATAACATTGTGTAAAGATAATGGTATAGTTTTGCTTTCTTTCCCTCCTCATTGTTCGCATAAGTTGCAACCTCTAGATAGATCTGTATTCGGACCATTTAAAAAATGCTTAGCTAATGCACAAGACTCATGGATAAAAAGTAGTCCAGGGAAAACAATGAGTATATATGATTTACCAGGAATTGCAAAAATAGCATTACAACATTCTCTTACACAACAAAATATATCTTCTGGTTTTAGAGTGGCAGGAATATTGCCATATAATAAGGATATATTTTCAGATGCAGATTTTGCTCCATCATTTGTTACGGATCGTCCAGCAACCCAATCTAATGCAGCTATTGATATTAGTATATCAACTTCAACCTCAGATGCAATTCCATCTGCAGTTTCAAAATTTTCCCCTGAGGTTGTAAGACCGCTACCAAAAGCACGACCCAGGAAAGAAATACTCACTAGATCAAAGAGAAAGCATACAGAAGTACTCACAGATACACCAGTAAAACAGCGTCTTATGGCTGAAAAAGAAATTAGTTCTAGAAAGCGAAAATCTGCTAGTACTTCTGCATCAAAAAAAAAAACAATAAAAAAGTATAATTGTTGACTTGAAATGTAATGAAACTCTTTAGTTTCTTTAATGCTAGTTTGTTTTTTTATGAGCCTTTATTGCTTGGAAATTTTTTTTTTTGTTATCAAAGTTAGATTATTGTTTATTTTTATGAAAGTTGTGTTTTATATTATTTATAAAACTACTCTTGCATTTTTATAAATTGATTTAATGTTTACTGAATAACTAAAGGAATACTTTTTTAAAAAAACACTTAAAAGTTTAAATAATATATGAGCTTAAATAATAATCCTCATTATTTTCTTTCTTCAGTTTTTAAAGTCTTTGAATGTAAGCATTAGTTTACTAAACATGTCAGGTGCATGTCAAGTCTAAAATACTACTTTTCTTTTCTTTTAATTATAATGTTTTGTTGCCAAATAGAAATTACAGATTAACTAGTAATTTTTATGTGAACTCTGCAAAGCTTATACTTTAAAAGTATTGTGTTGCAACTTGCCCCGTGCACTGTTGCAATTCGCCCCGGTGCGGGGTAAAATGCAACATATTTTTGTTTCACTATTGCGGAATAACTAAATTTGATATTTTATTTATCAATGTTGGATTAATACGTAACTTAAATCTATTTTATAACCCTGAAAAATAAAATCGAAAAAATATATATTTAAAGGGTATAAGTTACGTTTTTAAAATTTTGTTGCAACCAACCCCGGTCTCCCCTACTTAGGCAAAGGTAATTTGACCTTTAAAAGTATAACCAAACGAGACATAGCGCAACGTAAAAAACTTTAGAATTAAAACATAATTAAATTATGTTACGAATATATATTTTTTTACGATACATTACGTCATTTTTTAAAAAAAAGGATAACTAGTTGAGACGTAACGTAACGTTAAAAAAATCTTTGTTTGAGACATATTTTAGTTACCTCTCAAATCTAGATTGAGTTACGATATTTTACATCTCAATAGGTTACACTTTATAACCCGGTGGGAAATGAGCTAGCGACTAACGAGCGATTAGCTTGCTTTATAGTGATTTTGTAGCGATTTTTTTTTTTCTTATTGTTTTTTTCCTAATGTCTTTCACATCTTTAAAAATGCAATTTTAAGTGTTGAATCTATTATAATTATGAGAATAATTAAACTTTAAACTTTGCGATTTTGTAGCGATGTGTCGCTAGCTACATATCGTAGCTTTGTAGCTAGCTACAAAATATCTACAAATCTATAGCAGTTTGATAGCTGCATATGAAACTTTTTTAGACAGTGATTTTAATACGATATGACGCTAGCTACAAAAGCCTGTGGGTCTTTAGCTTATTAAGGTAGCTGTCTTCCTAGCCAAAATGCTGTCTTTGTCTTTACAAATATCGAAAGCTTTTCCTAACTTAAAAAAGCTGCCGATCCTCGTGGCTAAATCGCTGCCTTTATCGTTACGATTACAGCTAGCTATTCGCTAGCCAATTTTCCACCAGGAAAGTTATTAAAAAAAACAATTGAGACGTAACGTTGCGAATTAACATTTTTTTTTTGTAACAAAATTTTGAAATTAGGTATAAGAACCATTGAGAAATTAGTTTCGTGATAAAGTTTCTAAACTAATTGAGACGAAGCTATTTTACAATAAAACTAAAACAAAAGATAGTATATAGCATTACGGCAATATTAAACAAACTATTACTGTATTATCAAGTTTATTTACTTAATATTTGATTAAAAAATAGAGAATGTAACCTTGTTACTAGTTGTGACCGATTGAGACGTTACGTAACTTTAAAATGTTATATAGGGGTTACTTTAAGTATAAAATTTGGAATCAACTTTTTTATGATAGAAAAAATAATAATAAAGTTTTGTTTTAAATAATCAAGAGTTACATTTTATTAGAAAAAATGTTTTTAATCTAACATTTTTACTCTAAGAATCGAGTTTTTATATATATTGTTTCCTACTAACGTAACGCATATATTTTCACTGTTCTCGTCAAATTTTTTTATTAATTTTTATTGTTATGAAATAGCGCATCTAACTTTTCCTTTTACGTATCAAAAAACTTTTGAAAAATTGCAATCAAGGCCTCCACCTCCTCAAGGCCAAGAAGACTGCCACAATCCCTATTTGCAAAGGCAGCAGAAAAAATGGATGTCAAGGTTCTTTTGGTTGATGTTGATAAAATTAAAAAACGCAATGAAAAGATTGGATTGTCAAAATTGATTTCTTCATCAAAATCGTTACCAGGATTTTAACTCTAAACACGAACCTTGACGAACAAGGCAGCTGCGCGGCGAAACGAGTTGATTTGATATATACTTAATGTATAGCACAATTAAATGTACATTATTGATTTTAGAGAATGATAAAATTTGCGAGGTTTGGCTGCGTGAAGGTGTCTCTTAGTAAAATTTTGAATTTATATTTATATCAATTTTGGAACATATAAAGTATATATTATCATAATCCATAAGCATAAATAGTCAAAGAAAGACTTTTTAATCACGATTTCTTCATTGTTTCTATTGAATGCGACATATATATTTTATTTATATATTTTACAATAAGATTTTACAGACAAACCTAAATAAGATATTTAATATCAGGAAATAAATTTAAATAAAAAGTATAAATTTAGATGATCTTATTACTTGCAAACGAAATATAACAAACACTCAGCATATGCAAAGCATATTGAACCATCAAATAAACATACGTCAAAAAGTGTACACGGGGAAGTCTTAAAATTAACAAAGTTTTTAAACAATAAAAAAATCTGATTCCGTTATAGAAACTTTAATTTTTCTCAATATATTTTTAATTTTAAATTAGTTTAATAACTGGATTTAAAAGTGTAAAATTTTTGTTGTATTTTTCAGTAACTTTATCACTTGTTATGTGTTTTATACCATGCAACCTGGATTTACACTTATGGAGGTCCTAGGACGAATTATGTTTTGGAACCTTTCTTATAACTAAATTTTTTTGTTTTTATGACATTATATTTTGGGACTGAGAATGTGTGAAAAAGACAGCTAAGTATCGCATGATATAAAAACAAATAACATATTTTTGTTTCCGTTTTTAGGTCATTTTTACAAAAATTTCAAAAAATTCTTTAATTTTTTGACATATTGGGGGCTCTACAATTGCGGGGCACTAGGATGCGGTCTAGTCAACCTTTTAATATATCCAGCCCAGCATGCAACATATTAAATTTTAATTCAAGGGCTCTACAAAAAGATTGTGACGTTACATTATCCTTATAACCTTTGAGTTCCTTTCTTCTTTAAGATTTTATTAAATATTTGTATTTAAAAAAAATACAAAGTAAATGAAATAAATTAGTTTCGTCAACATTAGGAAAAATATACAATAATTTTCAACTTTATTTTACTTCTTTACTACAGTTTATTGAGAACGCTGATAGTTTTTCTTACAGGTGGTTTAAATATTTTGTCAAAATCTACGCTAAAAGAAACAAAGCACTACTGTTAAGCAAAAAAAAAGAGAGAACTAAGAACTTACTTCTTTCACATTTATTAATGACATCTTTACGTCCACAAAATAATAAACCGGATTTTAAACCACTCCATGTTTTATCTGGGTTATTTCTACACCACCTACTGAGAATTTCATAACTTTGATCTCGAGATGTTTCGTACTTACATTTAACTTTTTTTATATTTTTCCTACTTATGCCCAAAAAACGAGCAAGTTTTATCCAATCATTTGGCAACTCGTCTGCAAATGTATTGAGCACATCGCTTGAAAGTTTTTCAACTAAAAGGTGTAAACATGTTGAAATAATAATAATAATAACAATAATAATAATAATAATAACAATAATAACATTAATAATAATAATAATAATAATAATAATAATAATAATAATAATAATAATAATAATAATAATAATAATAACAACAATTATAATAATAATAATAAAACTATTTTCGATGAAATAAAAAGTTACCTTTCACATATTCACATTTGAACTCATTGTTTTCTTCTTGATTTAATTCAAGCTGGTCTTCCACATCTTTAAAAGCTATTTATAAAATATAGCTATTAAAAAAGTAATTGCAATATTAAACAATTAGAGTAAAAGTAGGAATTAAATGAAACCAAAAACGTCTATAATTAGGTTCCCAGTTGGCTCGCAACGTTTTATTCACTTCTCAATCACTTGCAATTTAGGTGACCTTGTCCATGTGACTATTTTACGTTAATAAAACGTGAAAGTTATGTTTCCGAAATATTTTTTTAAAAAGTGCCTTTCGGAATTAGCAGTAAAAACAAACTACTTTTGGAGCGTTTGTGATTACAAACGTGAAATTTTTTTTTTTTGTCTGTATTACTTTTTATATTATAGTTTTTATATTTATTTTATTAATTTTTATTTATTTTTGTTTTATCACATTATAATAGTTTTATATTGCAGTTTTAAAATAATTTAAAAATTTTGTATACAAGTATCCCTTATAACGTTGCATTGCAATTTAGAAATTATTAAAAAATAACGTAAATATTTTAAAACTCAATATCCCAGCTTAAAGAAACAGTTAAAACAAATACAGTAAATTTCTTCAAAGTTGTAGATCTAATGAGGTTCTGTTGTTGCAGATGATTCTCGAATTGTCGCACGAAAAAGGTCAAATCCTAGTATAAGGTGTGCTTTTTTTCTACTTAATGATATATCATTTTAGACTTTCTAATTTGTCCATGTAATATACTTAATTTAATAATAGTAAATAATTCTTACGAGCTTATTGATTTCTTTATATGTTTGTGTTGTATTTATAGCGCATTCTGACGTTTGCCAGAAAGTGTCCGACATAGTCCTTTATCGCCAATCAACATAGAAGTTTATTAACATGTGATGCTTTTATTGCAGGCATAAACTGGCCTACTACTTGACATCTCCGATTCGAATGTACAGAAGAAAATTTTGATGTTATATAGAGACAAAACCGCAACTTTCACCGCGAACGGACGTGTTTTAAGAGCTTATTAAAATACTTATAATAATGGCGAAAAACTTTACACCAGCACAACTTAAAGAAATTCTTGAAAATCACGAGAATGATTTGAAAATTTTACTATGATGAAAATTTTTAATGATCGGATAGAAAAAATGGAAATTAAATTTAATAACTTAAAAGATGAAAACTTTACGTTAAAAAAAGAATTATCTGAGGTACAGAAAGCTGTCGAATTTATAAGTAAAAGCTATGATAAAATAATAATTGAACTTACAGAATTAAAAAAAAAACAGAATCTAAAAAATCACCAGATGAAAGTAATATTGAAAATGGAACTAATAACATAAAAGAGAAAATAGCAGAACTAGAAGACAGAAGTCGTAGAAACAACTTGAGACTTATTGGGATTAAAGATAAAGCTAATGAAACTTGGGAAGAAAGTGAGCAAAAAATCAAAGACTTCCTCAATACAAAGCTTAATATACAAGAAAAAATTTTAATAGATAGAGCCCATCGAGTTGGAAAAAAAACCGGAAAAAACAGATCAATAATTGTTCGGTTTCAAAACTACAAAGACAAAGCCCTAGTGTTAAACAAATATACGACGACGAAGCTATGGAACGAACGGTTGTACATTAACGAAGACTTTAGCGATTTTACAATGGATTTACGCAGAAAGCTTTTCAAAGAAGCGAAAGAATTGAGAGCGAAAGGTAAGTTTGCTAAAGTAGTTTACAATAAATTAATTACGCGCGACCTATTATAAAGGAATTCTTTTAATATTCTATAATTAAATTTAAAAACAAAAATGGATGACTACGAATCCATTACTTTTAATTTTCATGATAAGTACTTAAAATCAAATTTTAATTCAGATCCAGATGTCAACTTTTTTAATGATGTGAACACATGTTGTTCTTATTTTTATCCCAACGAGTTAAAAGAATTTCTTAATAAAAATGGCACTGAAAATCAAAAAATCAGAATTCTTCACATATAATATTAGAAGTCTAAATACAAATTTTGAAAAGTTTTGCGATTTTTTAGTTGAAACTGAAAATATATTTAACATAATTTGCTTAACAGAAACGTGGATTTCTTCGAATGATTTTAAAAATAATTCTATTTTCCATCTTCCAGGTTTTGAAACAATTTTATTAGAAAGACAAACAAATAAACGCGGTGGAGGAGTTCTGATTTACGTTAAGGAACACATTGCACATAACATTAGGAATGATACGTGCGTTTCTGACGGTGATAAAGAAATCGTAACTATTGAAGTTTTAAACAATAAAAAAAATAATATTCTATTAAGCTGCTGTTATAGACCACCTGATGGTGCGTCTGAAAATCTTAGTTTCTTTTTACAGCAAAATATCATTCACAAAGGTAGCAAAGAAAACAAAATTACTTTTATAATTGGAGATTTCAACATGAACTGTTTAATTTATAATAAAGATAAAAAAATAAAAAGTTTTTATGATGAAATACTTATGGCAGGAGCTGTTCCTTTAATTAATTGCCCTACTAGAATAACCAAAACTTCAACTACGTTGATTGATAATATTTTTACAACAGATATTTATAATAGAAAATTAAAAAAAGGAATTATAAAAACCGACATATCCGATCATTTCCCCATTTTTCTAACAATCCATACTGTATCCTCTAATAACCCCGAAAGACAAAATATAATAAAAAAACGTGTCTTCAATGAGAGCAATATAAAATCCTTCCAATATCAATTATCACTTCTGCATTGGAAACATATTAACTTTAATGAAGACGCAAATACAATATATAATAAATTCTTTGATACGTTCTTCTCAATATACGTTGCAAACTTTCCACTTTGTGAAAAAATAACAAAAATAAAAACCTTAAATAGTCCATGGATTACCAAAGGACTTAGAAAATCCTCTAAAATAAAACAGAAACTATATATAAAATATCTAAAAACAAAATCAAATGAAAACCAACAAAAATATAAAAATTACCAACATTTATTTGAAAAAATTCGTAAAAAATTAAAAAAAAATTATTATTCAAATTTATTTAGTAAATTTAAAAACGACTCAAAAAATACTTGGAGAACCTTGAAAGAAATAACAGGAAAACAAAAAACAAATTCAGACTCCCTTCCTAAAGTAATTAAAATATTTTAATTACTTTAGGAAGGGATTTAATTTAAATTAATTTAAATAATAAATTTAAATAATAATTTAAATAATAAATTTAAATAATAATTTAAATAATAAATTTAAATAATAATTTAAATAATAAATTTAAATAATAAATTTAATTTAAATTAATAAAACAAATATATATGAACCAAACGAAATTGCAAACGAGTTTAATAAATATTTCATTGACATAGGAACCAAATTGGCAAACAAGATCCCTATTACAGAAAAAATTTTTAGTGATTTCCTAGAGCCTATAAATAGTTTGCTTTTTATAGATAATTTACATTCTGACTTATCTTTTGATGAGTTTGAGAGAGCTTACAAATCTCTCAAAAGAAACAAAGCTACGGGTGCGGACGAAATAAATGGCAACATAGTCATAGATTGCTTTGAAAACTTAAAGTGTATTCTTTATAAAGTCTTTAGGGCATCTATACAGCAAGGTGTATTCCCCGACCAATTAAAAATAGCTAAAGTAACTCCTATATACAAAAACGGAAAAAAATCAAATATTAGTAATTATCGCCCTATCTCAGTTCTTTTAACTTTCTCAAAAATTTTAGAAAGAATTATATACAATAGAACATACAATTACATTAATCTAAATAAACTTTTATATAAAAATCAATTCGGTTTTAAAAAAAAATTGTTCAACTGATCAAGCCTTTACACAGTTTATTCGTGAAATTTCCGATTCATTTGGTAGATCACAATATACATTAGGTATTTTCATTGACCTATCAAAAGCATTCGACACGGTCGATCACAAAATTCTACTTAAAAAACTCAAATTTTACGGAATTAATGGCAAATTAATAAAATGGTATCAAAGTTACTTGGAAAATAAAAAACAATTTGCTTTCTATGGAGATTATTTTCAAAATGAAAAATTAATTGACATAAAATGTGGTGTTCCACAGGGTTCTATTCTAGGCCCACTTTTGTTTTTAGTTTATATAAATGATTTAAATAAAACTTCTAACCTTATGAGTATAAATTTTGCGGACGATACTAATTTATTTCTGTCAAACAGTAGCAATTTATGATCTTTTTTCAAATATGAATAATGAACTCAATCAGATCTCCAATTGGTTTAAGTGCAACAAGTTAACTTTAAACATTGACAAAACAAAGTGGATCCTTTTCCACTCTCTTGCTAAAAAGCGTTTTTTACCAAACAAATTGCCTAAACTTTTTATTGATAAAATTGAAATAAAAAAGGAGTCGGTCACAAGATTTTTAGGCATTTACTGATGAAAATATTACATGGAAGTATCATATCGACTATATTTCTACTAAATTGGCTAAAAGTATTGGAACATTTAGGCATTTATTGATGAAAATATTACATGGAAGTATCATATCGACTATATTTCTACTAAATTGGCTAAAAGTATTGGAATTCTATATAAGGTCAGATACTATCTAAGTTAACAAAATTTAATTCAACTCTACTACTCGTTTATTCATAGCTATATAAATTATGCAAATATTGTTTGGGGAAGTACCTCTAAAAGTAAGTTACGAAGTCTTTACCAACGTCAGAAACACGCAATGCGTTTAATATGTTTCGAAAATCGTTTTTCTCATTCAAATATTTTATTTAAAAACGTTAAAGCACTTAACGTTTACGAACTCAATGTCTATAACATTTTATGTTTTATGTTTCGTTGTAAAAGTGAACGACCATTGTCCAATTTCAAAGATCTTTTTACTTATAAAGCTATAAACAAATATGCTTTACGAAATAATAATTTATTAATTGAGCCCTTTTGTAAAATAAAGTTTAATTAATTTTGCATAAACTATAGAGCACCGTAATTATGGAACAAAACTGTTGTTCCAAATTTTGATTTGTCAACTTCGTTTTCCGTTTTTAA